TGTCACTGTGATACAGTTCCCAGCCCCCCCCCCATTTAGCGGGGGTTACCTACTTTTGGGGGGGTTCAACCCACCATCAGCCAGCTAGCTGGAGGGGAAGCCCCGCCCCCAAGCCCCAACACCTGCAGCCACCCCTCTTCCTTCTCTCTTGACAGAGAGGAGGGAGAGGGGTGGCTACAGTCCCCGTGCCCCCTGCCTGCACTTAAAAAGAACGCTTTAAGTGCAGGCAGCGAGCGGGAAAGGGCCCCACACACCTGATCTTCACTTGGAGATGGGGCACACAGGGCCCTCTGGCTGGCTGCACTTAAAGGGAACCCTTTAAGTGCGGGCAGTTGGGGCAAAAGGGTTCCGCACACCCGATGAGCAATGTGCCCCATGCACCCGATGGGCAATGGGCCCTGTGCGCCTGATGGGCAGTGAGGCACGTGAGGGCCCTCCGGCTGCCTGCACTTAAAGGGAACCCTTTAAGTGTAGGCAGCCGTTGGGAAAGGGCCCCGCGCACCCGATCGCTCAGAGCCACAGCCGGCAGGACCGTCCCCTCGGGGGTGGGGCTTGGAGCCAGAATGTCCCCGACATTATGTCATCACATTGGGGACACCCCACCCCCCTCCAGGAAGTCCCCCCAAAGTCTCCTGCTGGGGATGAAAGTGGACCTGGCAACCCTACACTGTGAACTTTTGTCACTTCAAACTCTCTCTAGATAACTGTACTTAAAGAGGGTTTACATCGCATTCCTAAAGAGCATTACACTCCTCTGAGCTCATTGACTTCAATGGATTTATAAAAGTGTAATTCTGTTTAGGACTGTACTGTTAAGGTTGAAGAAGTCGATGTCTAATCACTGCAGTAACATTTTTATATATCATTACATGCAAATTATCTGCAAATGGTTACTTTATATTTTCCTTATTGATCTCACTTACTAAAGCTGAAAAGGGAAACAAGCTAAAAGATTCATCTTGCTCTCCCTCTCTGTGCATGCGTATGTGCGTGTGTGTGTGAAAACTTTCACTAAGGTCCAAATTGCAAATTGTATTATAATTTCTAACAGGCCACTACAACAGAAAAAGCATCTTCAAAGAACAGCAGCAGTTACTAATCTCATGTTTGCCTCATACAACTAACACATGAGTGTTTCCTGAGAAGAATCAACATGGGTGTGATTAACCAGCTGGTGTTGATTCCACTCTCAAATGCTCAACATTATAACAGAAGTAAACTGTAGTGGGTGAGAAGTAAGACCTGGGGTAGTATTGTCAAGGAAATCTAATTGGGAATGAGGCCATGGTACTTTTTGGAACAGGACAGGCTAAGATTCTGAAGACCACACAATGTGATTAGGGATGTTTCAAGGAAACGCAAGGTAAGGCTGGCCCGATGGGTTCCCAGGGCAGGTGCACACAAGAACCAGGCTGTTGTTATAAAATAATGTTAAGTTTATTCAAAGATATTAAGAAAAATAGTTATTGCTGACACATTACTCCGAAATCATACAAAACAGAAAATAACAAAGCTAGCTTCAGCTACCTAGCACTCTATAGAGCTGCACTAGGTAGCACCAAAATGAATTTTGTTAGGAAGGCCTCAATTAGCATTGTCTACATTTCTAGCAATTGCAGAACATAGTCTTGGCCTATAGTCCATGATAATCTCAAATAGCTTCTTCGTTCCCAGGCCAAGTTATAATTTTCGGCCTATTAAGTCAGGTGATGAAGGTATCCAATCAGAACAGGTCTCCAAGAGAAACTGCAAGAAGATTACATCAGTTTTCCCAGTCTTCCCCCTCCCATCACAGATCACAGGTTCCTATGGGACTTTAATTGACCAGCTTCCAATTTTGGCCTTGAAGATGATAAGACGCTTGCAGGTATAAAAAAACCCAATTAGCAACGCCTGCAGGTCAGTACAGGCCCATCACCATTCATGTTAACCCTTGAGAGGATTGGTGGTGGAAGGTGGGGAAGGTGCTTTGCTTCACAGGATGCTTAAATACTTTCTCGTTTGGTTCCCAGCCTGTTTACCAGTGGCGAGCAGGGATCTGATTACTTGTTGGCAGTTCAGCAGCTGCTTGAGCCTATTTGCTGGATTACTTTCCACAGATATAAACAGTGAAGTGCGGTAAAATCAGCATTATTTCACATATGCATGTTGTCACACAGTCCAATAGCGATCCTGTTCCTGCATACACCGGCCCCCCATTTGTCGTCATTGCACAATGCTTGGCAGCAAATTGTTTAAATAAAGAGTGAGAAAACCAATGAGTCAACCAGTTAGTGATCATAAATAGCAATATGTGGGTGGTGTTGTTGTTTTTTTTAAATAAATCCTACCTTTAGTTAGTGGGTTGGATCCAACCAGCTTTTGTGCTGGTAAAAAAAGGAGGCATCCTGTTTGAACATCCAAAAAGACTATATGGAGAATCATGGGACCTGCATGAACAAAAGCCATGTGGGGCAGGGACTGTCGTACGGAGGGGAAATGTGTGAAATTGAGTGAAATAGCTGGCTGGATCCAGTCTCATGTTACGAAGATTATTTCATGTATGCATATTTTTGCACAGTCTTATGGGGATTGTAGTTCCCAATCTATATATCATTTTATTTCCTCACCAAATGCAAAACTCCACCACTACAGATACAAAGCTGTTTGACAACTGTTCAGTCAGATGGCAGCAAGGAATGGAGACTCAAGTAAACGTAGATGTCAAAAACAGTATGTTGCTTGCCAAACATGTTTGCCATGGCATTCCTAATTGTAATGTTAGCAATCATGATAGACTGCTATGCATTTATTTAAACAGGCATTGTATTTATACTCATACTCTATACCACAAAAATGTAATTTACAAGCTATTTCTACTGAAGTATAGCCAAGTTTCCTATAAGTTGAGATCTGACACTAG